GTACGTAGTAGTAGTTAGTAGTGTGAGTAGGTAGGGTAGGTAGAGTACGTACGTACGTTATTATAATATATATATATATATATATATATATATATATATATATATATATATATATATATACACACACACATTAGGGTCAGCTCACTAGCTAATGGAATAGTATAAACCCAATAGGTCAGATTGAATATGACCGATCTGACGGTCTAGACTGTATTTCGGTAATATAATTTTAATGTTTTTTATATAAATTCAAATAACATGAATTTAAAGCATGGACTCTTCTCTTCAAGATACTTACAATAAAAATATTTTAAAAATGATTCGCATAAGATAGATGGACCAAAATATCTCTAGAACGTTTCAAAGATATTTTGATCAATTTATTTTATACGAATTATTTTTTTGATATTTTTATTAGATTCTAATACTTTTGAAGAATAGATGCTCTAAATTTCAAGTGATTTGGATTTGTAGAAAAAAAAATAAAATTCAATTACAAAATACAACTATGATCATTAGATCGGTCATGATTCAATCTGAACTACTGAGCTAGACCATGAAATGACAGAAGTTTATATATATATATATATATATGGAGAGAGAGAGAGATATATATATATATTTTATGGTATCCTTGTAATTGAAAAGGGCTGAAGTACAAAATCCTCGGCTTGGTTACACTTGGGAATTTGTGGCTCGGCTTTTCAAGAAAGAGCCACTCTTGGTGATCTGGCGCAGGGGCTTATCCGTGAACCTTATGAGGTTGTAGGCCCACGCTCCAAGGGTGGTCCCACAAATTGGGCCCACAACGTACACCCAAATGCTCTCATATCTGTTGCCTACGATTGCTGGCCCCAAGCTCCTTGCTGGATTCATGGATGCACCTGAAATTGGCCTGTAAAATTCCCCAATTTCATTTTTAAGAATGCACATCTATTTGTTAGAAAATGACAATGCAAATTTAAATGAAAAGGAATAAATCTAAAAATAAGACTTGTGATTGTTATGTTTCTTTTAAAAATTAAAAGTAAGAGTAGATGTTATTATGTATCTATCTGCATAAATCTGGACTAGGAATTAGAAAAGAATTTCTTGTTCCATGTTAATTAAAGGTCCTTCAATAGTAATGGGCTCTAGGCCTGGGTGGCCAGGACGTTGCAATTGCACGATGTGACATCTAGAGCTCAATTGTATAAAAAAAAAGGGAAAAAAATCTTTAAATAAAATTAAAAAAAAAAAGATGTTTTTCTAGTTTTCTCTTAATCTCATAAGCTTTAGAAAAATACTCCAATTTAAATTAAAACAGTATGATGAGAAAAACTGGATTTAATGAATCTTTACCAATGTGATGAGACTCGCCTGAGTTTAGTTAGACTCACGGGAGTAATTCGGCCTTGCAAGTTTTTTCAGTTGTGTGTACAACTCGAGGGCATAAAAGAAATTCCAAAAAAATTGTAAAAAATGTGAAATGTGTCGGGTTTATGTAGCTTTTAAAAGCCTTAAGAGAGATTGTATAAACATTTGAATAAATGAATCATAAACTCAGTGGGAGTATGTTCTTCTTGTGAACCATACTAGGAAAATGCAATTTGTCGACACATGGACTAGAATTGATGTGCTAGTCCAGCCGAGTTGGAAAACCAAAAGTACATGTGCATAGAGATGTAACCAATGAAGTTTTAGTGGGTTAGCCATTGGTGAGGTCGGAATATGTCTGGATGAGAGCCGAGGGACTGTGTTACCTTTGTGTGTGATGAATAGTCTATAGAGACAAGACTAAAACCTTATTGTTGTATCATCACATGGTATGTACATAGATAACAATACTGAGATAGTAATCCACCATTAATTGTGAAGAGTGTATATGTGTGAGAGATTACTTCTATGCACTATAGAGTCATGATTGCATCATAATTTGGTGGATCATGGTTTGTCTCTAGGGGAGAACCTGAAATCCACATATTGGGATTACGTTCCCTAGTCTATTGATGGACTTTAGTTGTCCAATCATGAGCCCTTGTAGTGAACTGTGGGTCATAGGAACTACTAGGTCAGTTTGAGAAAACTAGTGTAGATCGTGGTCCACAATTGAAGGTGGAGTGCTCCTATGTGTTGATTAAATCTTAGACCTATTTAGATCCATTCCCATCAAAATTAATTTAATTAAATTAATTTTATGTTATTTGATTTTTAGAAAGTTTATTTGAATTTTTGTGAATTTTGTGATATTTTAATTTTGTCATTTGGATTTATAAATCAAGAAAAATTCATTTTTAAAGTTTTAAATAAACTAAGAGTTTTGAAAAATCTAAAAAACACTTTTTATTGTTTCTAAAATATGTAGGACCCTCCATAATTATCATTTAAATCACATAGGACAATTGGGTGGGGCCCATGAGTGGCCACCAAAGGGTGGTAAGCCCCATCCATAGAGGATTGCCTTTCTTGCTAAATATGGTGAGAGGCATCCCATGGTAGTTGGTTTTCTATTTTTGGAGAGAAGCCTGATTGCATTAAGGAATGATAATATTGAGTTTTAGAATATCTTGTTAATCAAGAAAATTTGATTTGAAAAAGAAGAATGAATATTTACTAATAGAGAAAGTAAAGAGATAATTTTTTCTTTAAATTATTTGATGGGACTAGGTTTAGAAATAAGAGGACAAGGTTCTAACACCTTCTTTAGCATCTTGATGGTGGATCTAGAGAATGGATGACTCACATCTCTCACCCAACAAGTTTCTTTATATTGACACTTAAGATTTGCTCCTACAATTTTATGATAAACCCTAACGCATAAAAAATCTATAAAAAAGATTATTCTCCTCTCTTGTCTCTACACATCTTACTTACTCTCTCTTCTCTCTCTAAAATAGAATCTCTCTCTCTAGCCTCTCTCACATAGATTTCTCTCTCTCTCCAAGAAACATAAGAGGCCATGCACCACCTTAGCTGACCTCTCTCTCACACACAAACTATCCTAAAGGGGGCTTGCCCAAGCTAAATTAGGTTAAGCTTGAATCTCTCTCATGGGTTGTAAATCAAGCTAGGTTTTGATAGCAAATGGATCATCCCTAGCTAGTAGTTTTCTCTGTCCTTTCGTGATTTCTATCTCTCATAAGGATCAAGCTAAGGGGCTTATATTAGGCTTGAGCATTGAATCTTTAGGTAGGTAGTTCTAGATTAGGATCCATGTGCATTGTTTGGGTTTTGCCATAAGAATGAAAAATCAAGAGACTGATCAAAAATCCCAAATACCATTGAAAAAAGGAGACTCGACGTGGGGTGTACTAAGCCCGATTGAGGTAATCTCCAACTCCCTCTTTTGTTTCTTCCATATTTATTTATTTTGTCTTTTATTCTCAAGTATAGATTATGTATTTTCTTTGTTGATGAAAAGTGTGGTTTTAAATGGCTTCAAGTTCTTGAGATCCTATTGTATTATTTTATTTTATTTTAAATTATTATATTATAAAAAGATTACTAGTGAGTGTTCTAAGCCACGAAGAAAAGAAAAAGAATTGAAAAAGAACAAAAAAAATTTATTATATACTCCAGCTAGATCACACTAGTCCTTCTTTCAAGATGACTTATAAATGTTTTTATATATGATTTTGATATTTTTGTTAATGATTTGTGAGTTCTTTTTGCCTTAATCTCTATTTTTATCTTTTCTAGAGTTTTGGTTTTAGTGCTCCAAACTGTAAATCAAATTTTTTTCAAATCTATTTTGCTCTCCCTACTTTGTTTTCAGTTTTATCTTACCTTTACAAACATTTTTTTATTTTTTCAAATTTTTCTTATTCTTATTCTTATTCTTTTATTTGGTTTCTTTGCCTTGTGCATGACTCGGTCCAGCCCGTGGCACTCAGTTGAGTAATTCGCTTCAGGCAAGGGCCAAGGCAAGTGTGGTAGGTACATTGTTCTTGACTTGTGGCGGTATATCTACTGAAAGGGTGAATTATGAGACATCATGAAGTAAAATTACTCTTGATTTTTAACTAAAAAAAATCTTCATAAATAGTGAGAAATATAAATACCCAAACTATGGGGGACATGCCTTTTGAGAAAATTGAAAAATAAATGAAAAAAGGAAATCAATTCTGGTTCTCCGTTACTCACCCAGCATAAAGCACATTTAATAGCACTGTAGCTCCTACTGCAATTCCAGCAAGTTCTCCAATCTGCCATTACCAACAAATGAAGATTATAATTAAAGAACATCACGAAAACTTCCAAGTTACAATTGCTATGATCCTTCCGGTACTACTTTTTGTAAAAAATGTTTGTACCGCTCGATTATCGGTTGCAACACCGGAAATAACAAACATCAAGAAGAAGGAGATGATAAATTCGAGAACAAGTGATTGGAGGTCTGATCCAGCCGGAATTGTTCCTGGAAAATGCTCGGATTTCCCACCGAATAACAGATGAAGTGTTCCACTTGCAAGGGTTGATCCCAACACCTGAGCCAAAACATAAGGAGGTACCTGAAATTTACAGACACAAAAAAGTTCCTATAAGTCAATAAGAACCCAATCTTACAGTGGGGCTAAGAGAATGTGATTGATCTTTCTTCCTATTGTGAATTTTCTTCTTCCTCAAAATAATTGCTAGTACTTTGAAAATGGTTCCTCTCTTCTTTAATGGAAATTTTTACTATTTCATATGAGAAAAAATTGTTTAAGCACGAAATTTTGTACCTGCTTCCATGGAAATCTTCTGCAAGTAGCAAAGGCAATAGTAACAGCAGGGTTGAAATGGGCTCCTGAAATATGGCCAACTGAGTAAACCATGACCATCACCACAAGCCCCCACACTATGCAAATTCCAGGAAATGTCACACTCCCTTTGCTTAGATTAACCACCACCGATGCACACCCCGCGAATATCACAAAATAAGTACCCAAGATCTCTGCAATTATCTGCAATTCATACCCAAAAGAGACATAATTTGAATGGGCACCAATACTTTACAATTGTTTTTTTTTTTCAGTGAGAGATTGAGAGTAATAATGCAATAACTTTCTGAATAAAGTTGGTGGAGAAAATTTCTCTGAAATAACTCCCCAAATAAAGTTAGAGAGACCATAAATTTTGTTCCAAATATCATTTTATGTAATGTTGGAGAGAACAAAGGATTTTGATCATTTCAAGCATGTAAAACAGAGAGACAGATAGAGAGTTTGCTGACCTTCTGTATGAAAGTCACAGAGAGTTGAAACTTTGGTGGTTTAGGAGCATGTAAAGCAGTAGCAGGAGAAACCCCATCTTCAATCTGATAAATCTCATTCTCACCACTCTTCCCATTGATTTGAACATTCATATGTCCGTTACTCAGCTCAGAAGCCATTAGCAAATCACACCCAAAACAGGAACCCAAACTAAGAATTATAATCACTCACTAAAGCTTCATCTTTCTCACACCTGCACCAAAACTCAACATCAAACTAAAGCAAAGCAACTACAACTGAACTGAATTAGGCAAAGCAAAACTGATTGGCTTTATGGGGTTCTTATGTGAACACAGAGCTCACACTGTGTCACAAATACAATGAATTGGTCAAAAGAAAAGAAAGGAGAATAGGTCTAAAAAGGAAGTGAGAAAATGAACGAAATGAGTTATGAAAAGGGGATGGGGATGAGGATGAGATGGTTGAAAAGTGTGAAATATTTGCTCCATTAAATGGGAGGAGAGTTAAGGAGGGTCAACAACCCACCACCAAAAATGAAGCTTCATATTAATTTGGAGAGCAGGGGAAAGCTTTATATGAGGCCTAAGCCTTACCCTAAAAGGTAACTTGCACCCCAAAACCAGGGAGGAAATTGTAATTTTAGCATTAGAAAAACCCTCGATTATTTTGATATTGAAAATTATGTATTTGAGAGAACATGTTTTTTTTTTTTGTCGGGTGAATCAGCGGAGAGAGGGCTTTTACCCTCGGTAGGAATTTTTTTTTTTTTGGGTGAATCAGCGGATAGAGGGCTTTTACCCTCGGTAGGAATTGAGCTTAAGACATAACATTGCAAATTGTCAAGCGCTAATCAATTAAGCCCGGGCTTTTTTTCTAATGGGTAAGTTAGTGGGGATTTGAGCCCCTACTTTTTGATGATTATGGAGTAAGAGACTTCATCATGGAGCACGACAATATTACCACCAAAGCTCCCGCCCATTTGAGCTATAAAGATTGTGTATCTTGTAACATATATTCATCTATTCTAAGGATTCACAAATTTACCGGATGTGTACCATTTTGGGGGTTTAAAATTCATAATCTAAGAGGAGAAATTGACTTTCATGTCTATCATAAGGGTTTCCGGCACGAGAACAACATTTTCCTATAGGGTTTCGAAGCAATTAACCATTGCTCAAATAAATCTCTCGCACATGCGCAGAACTTCACTACTCAAGCAGGGTCTACAAGGCGGTGGTCCTTAGGCTAGAGTAGTTGACCATGTCAGAGAGAGAAAGTGGCCCATACTTGAATAGTTGATTAAGGCGGGAGGGAAAGACATTGAGGACGGACAATATTTGGACGGCTTATTTATAAAATGATGCTCCTGTTATGGCAGCATTTCAACAAAGTTGAACATATTGACCGCGTTTATGTTAAAATATGCCTATGTGGTTTGTGTTCTTATCAGTTAGAAGGACAAGTTTATTTAAGGTGTAAACTTTATAATTGAAAAAATGTGCACCTCAAAAATAACCTAGAAGGAAGTTTCTAATGTTTGAAAATCCGTCCGATTGATCATCTCTACCTTAAAAAAAAAAGTATAGAAAAAAAAAAATTGATTCTTAAAAATAATGCATCTTGTAACAAGCTATCTAGCTATTTTTAATATTATCGAGTGTTTCTAGATCTACTCAATCTGTATCTTTTTTTATATTTTAAATTTTATAGCTAGAGATGAAAGAAATTTTCAACACTTGAACTACATCTCCAAGCAAAATTCAAATGTGCACTTTACTTGTACAGTATAATAGAACGCCTTATATAAACCTCACCATTCCATTGAGGTTCGAAGTGGCCACAAATGGGCGGCATTTATTCCATTAACCAAAGCTCAAACTATAAAAAAAATTTTATCGAACTTTGTGACACATCCAAAACATCAAATTTAACATCAGATGGCTATAAATAATTGTACCCACCTTATATAAATGGTCTCATTGTATACAATCCTTTCAATTAAATATTGTGTGTCCTTGTCCCATATTTTGGGAAAAATATACAAATCAATGTGGGCATAAAAATTGGTAACTAACATATGCTAATACTTCTTAAGAGCCTCGGAGAGCTTGGATGATGGGGACTCTAAGCTTTAGAAATTAGAAGTTTCAGTTTGTTGTAGCATTTTTTTAATTTGTTAATAAGATGTGCTAAAAGAGCTTGAAATTAGGACGTATGAGGTTCTATAGACCATGAGAATTCGTAGCTTTCAACACCCCATAGAATTTAGCTCATCTTGCTATCTCTTGCCTGTTTTGGTCATCCCTTATCCTCTTCTCTCTCTCTCTCTCCTCGCTACGCGAGTCGGTCTTTTGTCTCTCTCCATGTCATCGCCTCTCTCTCATCAACTCTGCTATGAAGCTCTTTCTTCTCTCTCAATCTCTCGTCGCCATTGTCGGTCCAGTCTCCTTTCTCTAGTCTCTCCATTGCTCTTTCTATCTCTCTCCTTCCTAAGTATTGACAACTCTCTCTCTCTCTCTGAAGCTATAAATTCCAAGAATCATGAAGCTTTGTCGGATCGTTGTGATTTAACCTCTGTATTTGAGATCTTCCAACGAAGTTAAAGAACAAGTGTATCAAAACTTCCAGATATTAAACTTTCCAGCTCCAGGGAAGTAGAACCTCTTGTTCCTGGGAACACCCAGCTTTTCCCTGCACTTGACCATCCAATATGAATGAAGGTCCCACCCTCGGAGCATTTCCGGTCAACGTCTATGAGCAACCCAAAAATATTAGAATTAAACATTTTCCCAATTCTAAAAAGAAAAGTGTACAATGAGTCGGCCTAGACTCATAAGTCCACCCAAGATTTGATTAGGGTGGCAATGGCCCCAAACCCGACTTGGGAACGGCAGGGTATACTCAATATGGATCTGGGTATGGGTTCAACATTTGGACTCGGAAGGTCGAGTCTGGGTCCAAAACTTGGACCTGAACACTATTCAGGTCTGGGTCCAGGTCCGGTTGGACCCGACCCAAACCTCTTAACTGTTAAAAATAAAATACTTCAATATTCATTTGGGTATATTAAAGATCGTTTGCAATAAGAAACTTGAATATACCCAAATGAATAGGATTTGAAGTGTTTTATTTAAACGACAAATCAAACGGCTTAAAATCAAATGATAGATGATTGTTACCTTGTTGTCAATAATGGGTATATGATGGTAAAAAAAGGGCAAAAATAAATAAATAAAGAAGCTCATAGTGAGGGCGACAATGGACCTGACAAGATAGACCTGAGACCCGACGGGTATGGGTATGGGTATGGGTCCAACTTTTGGACCCAACAGATCAAGTCTTGGTCCAAACCTAGACCCAAATACTATTCAAGTTTGGGTCTAAGTCCAAAACCTGGACTCAAATACTATTCAAGTTAACCCATTGTCACCCCTAGTGGAGATAGAATTCAAAATGCATCTTAAATCGGTCAAAATACAATTCTTCCACGTATCTATCTTTTTGCAGCTCCAAAAATTGTGCAGATCACAGTAACATGTACAAATCACAAAAAACCATGTGTTTTATTTAGGAAAAATATTAAAAAATCCCTCAGGTATACTATCTATACAACTTACCCTCCAGCTAACTTTCCTCTCACTTTTTTCCCCACAACCATCTTTTCTCGTAAAAACCCCCCAATTCAAAACAAAAGAAAAAAAAGACTAAACTAACCTCCCTCTCTCTCTTCGTGGCTTTTACCTACAACTTTCTCCCCATGATGCAAGGACTCACTCCAGCAGTGTTTTTTTTTTTTGGTAGGAAAAGGCATTTCCAAAAAAAAAAAATAACAACTTTTTACCTTTAGGGGGTTTTTGCAAGGAAAGATGATTGTGGGTAAAAAAGCGAGAGAAAAAGTTAATGGAGGGGTAAGTTGCATAGACACATACTTGGGAGGGGTTTTGTAATTTTCCGTTTTATTTATTTATTTATTTATTTATTTAGATGTTCACGTGCTTCGAATACTCAACCCTAGATCCAAAGTCCAAATCAAAGATAGATTTTAAGAGGGGGACAAACATCAAAACCGCTAGCATGGTGATTTCCCTGTGTGTTCCTAATATTAGGGTGTAAAATGCAAATTAAAATATGCACTTAGCCAACTGTCAACAAAGGAATTTATATTTATTCTCCACCATTTATCGTGAAGAAAAGCCCCCTATGCTGCGTACAAATCGGTAGAAATACCCGTGCTAGGAAAATCGGCCGAGTTACTTGGGCTAGGGCCTTTGCTGAGCCTGAGTTGGACACTTAAGTCACGGATATTAAAAAAAAGTTCAAAAAATTATGAAGCTCTAAAAGGTAAGGAATATATATATATATATATATTATGTTTTCTATTATTTTGATAAGGGTGCGGTTTGTATAGAGCCTAAGCTCTAAACAATCAAATTAGAGATTATCTCAAAATAGTGTCGAGAAATGTGGTTTTAATATTGAAAATCTTTGTGATATCCTTAAAATATATTTTCATATTTATTTATAAAAGTTAAAGCTTCAAAAATAATGTAGATTTATAGATCTATGAAAGCTTGAAAATCTTAAAAATTGACGTTCCAAAAATGTGTTACAAAATACACTATTTTCAAAACTTGAAATTCATCTTTTTCTCATGTCCATGCTTTTTTATTTCAAGATGATCAATTTGAAAAAATTTGGGCATCAAAACAATCTTTTCTGATGAAATTTTTGAGATATGCTCAAATTTGATTGTTTAGAGCCCCAACTCTATATAAAGTTTTCCCTTTTGATAAAGATTGGAAGATTTTTTTGGCCATAAATACTTATTTTGACCTTTTTTATATATTTTTAGATTATTTTGAAAATACCTCCAATCACAAGTTGATTTTGTAAAATCTGTTTTTTTTTACTACTTATTTAACGTCATTTTGAAATGTTTTGTTCAATCTTTCAAATTATGTTTTTTTTTTTTTTTCCGACCTTTTTTTTTTTATATTTTTATAATTTTTTTGTCCTTTTTTTTGCTACTATAATACTGGGCACTATCAGGCCAAGTTACTCGGACTCAGTCAAGTAATCAGTTTGGGCCAAGTTACTTGGACTCGGCCAAGTAATCAGTTTGAGCCAGAATTTGAAAACTCATCGAGTCAAGCCAGACTCGCCCAGCTCGACTCGAGAATCGTCTGCTACCGAGCTGGTTCCACGAAAAAATCGAGAATCGCTCGTGTCTAGATAGAACCGAGCGATTCCCAATAGTGAATCGTGAGTCTCACCGAAAATTTTTAGGTTTACACGTGGCAGCATCACAGGAGCAACACGTGGCACCTAAAAATCGTCTACACGTGGTAACTCACCTTACATGTCTACCCCCTCACTTTTCCACACACGCAGTTGAATCTCTAGTACACAGGACTTTATAGAGAAAAAAGCGGCGCTCATCTTTCAATGTGGGATAATTTCAACAAAAAATCATTTAAGCAAGACGATTGAATATATATTATTATAGAAGCTAATAAATCACATTAGG